CAGCATGCTTCCCCGAATCTTTTCAGATACGATCACATCAAAAATGATACCCGAGGAACCCACTACATTTTATTTACAATATCTCTCAAAAGTAATCGCACACTCTTAAAAAAATCGCAGAAATCTTACTTTGGCCTAAGATTAAAATTCGAATAGGAAGTCCAATTTCGTTTTATATTACCTCCGTGTGATATCAAATGAATCGTAATTCAATTTTTTTACATACTTACTCAATTAATTTATAAAAAATTCAAATACAAAATGGTGGGAGAAAAACGCGTCATAAAAGTTATAGTACACCCAAATGCGCTTTTGCTTGAATTTCTTTAAAATAAAGTCTGATGAATTTCCACACCTGCATTAAGGCGATGAACAGAAGATCGTCTGTTTAAATTTTTTTCTTGATTTCTTTAAAATATTATATTCTTTTATTATATATATTGCACTGTCTAAAAATTGCCTGCAGTCGAAATGAGACAACGAAAAGCTTTCAAAAATGGATTAACTTTCACTTCAATCAAGGTAAACCCAGAGTATAGCGAAATTAGTGTAAATGCCTCTTATTCTACAGAGCAGTAGGTATGTGATAAAGCGTTTTAAGGCAAAAAGAATGGAAAACAAGCACAAAAAAAAGACGTCCAAAGAAATTAACTCAACATAATCAGCAATTTATTGTTAGAAAATTTATCAAAAATTCACATTTGAGAGCAATAAAAGTTTCTACAGAGTTAGCTGAAATGTTTTTAGCTCATTTCATCTGAAACATTTCAAAGAATACTCAGAATAACCGAAATGCACTTGCATTAAACACGAAAAAAATATTTTTGTGAGTGCGAAAAAGAGAATTCAACTTTCCTGTGTGTAAAATCCATAATAAATAAGTCTAAAAAGTTTTGGAATAATGCCCTATTTACAAAGGAGAGCAAACTAAACATTTTTGGCTCAGATGGGCATGGAATAATGTGGAAAAGAAAAAAAAGGAGGAACTTAATATCAAGAATTTAGTTTAAACATTGAAGCTTCGAAGTGAAAGTTTCTTGTGTGGGGGTGTATTTCAGACTTCAGGATGAGGTAATTTGATATTTATTTATGGATATTATGAATCATGAACTCTTTACTTAAATATTTTGAGGACAATTTGAAAGTACCAGCCAATTATTTAGATATTGGAGACGATTTCACTTTTATCAAGATATGACTTCAAAAACTCTGCTCTCAACGGAAGCCTCTGTTATCTCTATCACTGTCTCCAAGTTCTAAAAACACCACCTCAATAACCTGATTTAAATCCAATAGAACAGATTTGGAGAGAGCTTGAAGATAGACTAAGAATAAAAGCCAAACTTGAACTAAAACCAGTAATCACAGAAAAATGGAGTAACATAATGACGAAATCTAAAAAAAAAAAAAAAAAAACTGGTGAAATCTATATATTGAGGCATTTAAACGGTGTTGCTGACGCTAAAGGATGCCCTACTAAGTATGAAATTATGGCGGAAGTACAATAGTTGAGATTGCGTAGATTTTTTAAAAATTTTAAGGACTTAGGGCGTAGCTTTGTTGTATTTTTCAATTCCTACTATTAGCTCACTCTCTCTCTCTCTCTGTTTATATATATATATATCTTGTTCAAATTTTAAATCGTTAATAAAATGCATTTTAAAGCACTCAATTGAGCTGAAATTTTATATACACGCTTATTTTGGATGACAATACAGTATTTTAATTATAATTAATAAAAATTAATTGATTAAAACTAATTATTTAAAGCATTACAAATACAGCCACGTTGGCATCATTTTTGCCGACTTAGCGACCATTTTGTGGACTTGTGTTAAAACTTGAAAAGGTTTTTTTCTCACACATTTTAAAGCACTCATTTGAGCTGAAATTTTCTGTACACTATTGTTTGGGGTAACAATACAATAATTTAACTATAATTAATTAAAATTATTGACTGAAATTAATTATTTAAAGGATTACAGATACAGCCATGTTGGCTTCATTCAAAATTAAAAAAAAAATTTTTTTTCACGTTGAAGCTGAACAGTTGAACTGAAATTTTATATACACGATTGTTTTGGATTCATCTGCGATACTTTAATGATAACTAATAAAAATTAATTGCGACTTAAAATGTGATTTGTCATATGTATATACATATTTATATTAAAGGTAACTAATTAATAAAAAGAAACTAAAACAATTTTTTTTGTAGATCTAAGTAGGAATTGGTTTAAAAATTTTTTTATATTACTTGTTTTAATTATTAATGGGACATGGTATGATTTATAAAAAGTCTTTGATTTAATGTTTTTCACAAACCTTTTTGTTCTCTCCTATGTATATGCATCATTTAATTAAGTTTTTGAACTCAAAATATCACAAAAAGGTAACCATTTAACTCTCTAGAAAAAATTTAAGAATTCATGTAGTGAATTTAAAATGTTACTTCTCCTATAATAATTAACGCACACACATAAAATGTGATTTCAAAATAGGTTGAGTATAACAAAAGTTGGTATAGGTTTTGTGACACATGCTTGACATTCGTAAAACGCTCTTTTTTATGAATAGTTGTTGAAAATTCTTTAAAAAATGAATACATTCTAAGCACAATTATTTGTTTAAAGAAAATTACTTTCAATCTCTCTAAAATGCATACCAACCTTTATTGCATGCATTAATAGCAATAGATAGAAAAAAAATATCAAGGCATTTGGCACAATAGAAAATAAGGCTTAGACTTTAAAATGAAGATAAATTAACTATTTTTTCTTTCTATATATATATATATACATAACTTAGGCTAAAAAATGTAATTTAATTTTTTGAACGATTTTTATCAACTGAATCGTATTGTGAAAACATTTTTGCTCATTTATTTCTTTTTAAATAAGTATTTCGGGAAAATAATTTTAATTATCCCTCTCTTCTTGTAAAAAAATGTTTGTGATATATAAATAAAAAGAAGTGTTACTTTTGAAAAATCGCAGTACAAATTTTATATAAATCGTCTACATACATAATAAATCACAGACTGAAAATTTTATAATTTCTTGTTATATATATATATAAAAGGTTTTCACAAGATTTAAATATTATCATATGAAATAAAAATATACCGTTTACGTTGTCCAGTAAGATGCAATCGAAAGACAGTAAGCCCTTCGTTCTAATTACAGGCTTTAAGGAGAAACTAATAATATACCTGATAAATATGAACTTAATTAGTATTCACCTAAGCCAAAAAAGCAAGGCTTCTTTATCTACGACTTTCAAAGCTAAACTTTCTAAAATATTATTATAAGATTGAAATTTAAACACGAGACTCACCAAAAATTTCCACAGTGCAAAATAATGTATCACTTCCAAGATCCGTAAACAACCTAAAAGGAAACTGGAAAATGGACCATTCCGATTCGTATTTGACATCATACAGCTTCTCTCGATTTTCGCATATTTGATCATCTTGTAATGAGTTAGAGAAACAAACCACCACATCCATGGGTAGTGACTTAATCTTTTTTTGGATCCATATATGCATAGATGATATTTGTTTGTTGCCAGAAGAAAATTGGAACTGGTATCTTGCACAATGTGTGTCATTATTGCAAGTAGTGTTATCTATAAATACATAAAAATATATCCATTAATTATTTTATAATAAACTTCTTGTTTTAAAAAATCAGCCAGAGATGAAGACAAAAAATTTTAAAGCACATTATACCTGACCATGAATATTTTTATATTAAAATATTCTTAATTAAAATTGAAATAAAACAATTAATTTTAAACATATTAATATTGTTTTTACCCCTAATGAGCTAAATGTACATTCTCCTTTCTCTTCTTTTTACCAATGTCATTAGAAATTTTTTAAAATATCCTTCTTTATATAAATGTTTTGCAAAAATGTTGTGGAAATAATATGCCTGTAACTATATTCATCATAATATTTACTACAGGAAAGTTCTAATTTTTCAGTACCATTGTAATTGCATGCCTTCAATAAGTGCAGTCTTGTCGTTAGCAATTTATAATCACTCATTTTAGCAAAGCAAAATAACGAGGCTGAATTAAAAATTTGTTCTCTAACGATGGTGATAAGAACAAATATTATTTATGAAAAGCAAGCACAAGCGGAACATATTTTTCCATACTACCCACATTCATTGTAGTGCTCAAGACCTTTAATTCTATTTAAAATGTGAAAATCATGAATTACTCATGTTTTGCACCTTTTTGGATACTTACTTAGTGTAGTAGTGAAGGATTGTAGGAAAAGTATATTGCTTTGAAACATTTTTTCGACTGAAAGTTTTTTAAATCTTTGACAAATAGTTAGCTTTAAAATATCCAATAGGTTCATAAAACAAGCTTGTTTGGTGAAACATGTTTTTTAATTCTTTTTCAATTATAAAAATGATTTGTTGTTATTTGTGAAGGGAATTTTTTACCTCGGATATTTAGACATTACAGTTTATTATAAGCACAAACATAAATATGAAGAAACTAAGTATTAACAAGGAATACAGTATTCGGGGGGGGGGGGAGTATTCATTAATCACGCACAGCAAACCGATTGGGATGGCCTCAAACTAGGCTAGACTAGGTTAAAGAGGGAAAGGGTGTAAGCACACAACTATTCTTCCGCCTACAAAAATAATTCTCTCGCTCCAACATAATTCATTTGTTGTTACATTGGCATTGATATAAAAAAAATCAATACACACAGTGATCTTTTTCAATTCCTACTCTATTAGTTCACTTTCTCTCTCTCTCTATATATATATCTTGTTCAAATTTTCAATCGCTAATAAAGTAATTTTATTCATCCATTCAAGTTCAAATACGTTTTTTTCAAAATTTGTAGTGGATGACACTTGATGTTAATACAGTTTTAACAAATATCAATTCGTCAATTAAATTATAAAATGAGTAAATAGTGACAAAATAATAGTCCAACAACATATATAGAAAGAAAAATCGGACGTTGTGTCCCTGTAGCGCAATGGATAGCGCGTTGGATTTCAAATCCGAAGGGCGTGGGTTCGAATCCTATCTGGTATGGCCTAATTTCTGAGAATGTGATTTCCTTTTTACTATACTATTTTATTAGAATAATTAAATTTATTTCCTGAATAAATAGTAGTAACAAACAAACAACAAAAATAGTCTAACACCATATTATAGAAAGGAAAATGAAAAATTGGACGTAAAATCACTTTTTATTTTGTCACTTAATATTGTGATTCTGTCATATGTATATACATATTTATATTAATTGTAACTATTTAATAAAAAGTAACTAAAATGAAATTTTTCCTTTGACGTTAAATAGGAATTGACTGAATTTTTTTTATATTGCTTGTTTTGAATCAGATGGTATATTCGATGATGCGGTGAAAATTATTTCCTCTGGCCTTTTTTTTTGTTGAAGGATTTTAGTGTATTTGATAAATTTATAGAAATAAAATTAATGTGAAAATCTCTTGTAAAGTTTTTAATTGATGGTCCTCAATATCTGTCAAGGCGTTCGAAACTTTCATTGGTTATGATCCTCAGAACTTCCACACATTAAAAATTTTTCTTATTTATAAAAATTTATACCACTTACGTAAAAATTGTAAACTGGTTTATATTTCTCTTTTCTGAAATAAAACACATCTCTCTCTAAAGTTTCAGAATTTTCTGGTCATTTACTGTGTTAGATGCTACATTAATTTTAAATTGATATTGAATTCTTTTCTCTTTGTTTGCAGTTTTGCCAAGATATTCCATATTTTAAAGAAAGACTCCTGAATTAAATTTCTAAAATTGCCCTAATTTTAATTAATGACACACGAAATTTATTAATATAGTATTGGTGGAAGACTTAATAATTATTACTCGGTCTGAAATCAAACGAATGGCACTTGAATTTTCCTCGTGTTGCGACGTTAAAGCAATCAATCAGACACCCGAATTTCCACACCACTTTCTAATTATCAGTTTATTTAACAAATATTTTATATATTCAGTAAAATCTAACATTCATTATTTATTTTAAATTAAACCCTCGTTCTTGCACGAAGATATTCGATGGAATCAAAGATACTCATGACTTTCCTACAAAAATAGGGCACGATTTCACTAATCAGATTTCCATATTTCGAAGACTTGGAAGAAATTTATGCATTGTAGAATATTATAAAAATAACTTATTCATATTTAAAAACCTGCTCAAATCTGAAATTTCTTACTATTTTTAGAAAATAAAAACAAGGTCAAAATATAATCTCAAATTCTTATTATCTACAAAAAATTTAGTTGTGATATCCCTTATAGCAATAATGGAATATTGTTTATTATTAGACAAGGATGGAAAAACTTTTGAGCCCCCAAACCACACTTTTGTGTTCGTCGCTGTGTCTAATCATATCCATTAGGATGAGTTCTGCTCTCAGGTATTACAAGGGATATTTTCCATAAGAATTGAACGAATCAATCCAAATCTACTAAAATAGTTCATTTATTAATTTTCCTATGATTTCCTAAAATATACGTATAAATAAGTTGAGAATAATTGCTGATTCTTTTTGTATTTGGCTGACTGCTATACATTTTTTTTTGTTTGTTTCTGTTATTTGATGTTATTATTCGATATTTAAAGCAACATTTTAGTTGTTTTATTCAGAATTTTAATGATTGTTAGAAACCTAAAAAAATATAACTATTATTTTAATGGTAGTAATCGTTTGTACTTGTTGAAGAAATCCTCTCTCTTTGTTGAAAAATAATCCTAAGAGGTATTTTGAAAATTAAAAAAAAATAAATCGCTGATTGATGTTTTTATAAGCTGCTTCGTGATTGTCACTATTTGCATACGCAGATCTCGAACAGTGCGCTTACGCAAGCATTTCAATCAATCTATCCATTGAATTCGAGAGAAACAGGAGATAGTCAGTTGATGATAGGGTCAAACACTTAACACCGTTGATTACTATTACGCTGGAAAATACTTAATATATTTTTTTTTAGTTTAATAAAATTGCTCCGTGTTCCGAAAGTAAAAAATTTTTCAAAAGCGTTTTTGAAGAATTGTAATTCAATATTAAGTGTAAATTAAAAACCAAACATTTCTTAAAAATTATAAAATTTTGAAAAAATAATGAATATATTAATAGTATTAGTTATATTATTATATATATTAATAGTAATAATACATATCAATAATATTAGTTTTTTTTAAAATTTTTCATTTTTGTTCAAAAATCAAAGATATTTTTAAAACATCTAACCATTTTATCTTTCAATACATGACTAGTATTTTTGTACCACTTCAAAAATATTAGAATTATAATGGGCGTGAATATTTTACTTTCGTAATTTATACATTAGGCCAATACGAGAGGCTCCTTTCCCCTCCTTTATTACACACGACAGTCACAGATGCGAGTTTTGAAGACTTTACCCATTTACCTCAGGAAATTAGTTTAGCAAATGAGCTATTTAATAGTAAAAAAAATTCTTTTGAAATTACAAGATGGAAATGTCAACTAGCATTTATGAATTTTAATATTGTGATTAATACAGATTTCGTTTTCGTTCACATGAATAGTGGCAAAGCTAGATCATAGCTTCACTCTGTAATCAAATTGTGAGATTTTCTATGATCTCGTAATCTTTACATTTTACGATTGTCAGTAATATATATGTATGGATAATATCCAAATTTTGATAAACACTAATAATCCATTAGTATAGTAAATGAAGGATTACATGTGGACGGTTCAGTATTTTATGTTAAGTATTCATTAAAATCCATACGAAGAAAATGCAAGGTAATTCAATATATACCCAACCACATTTTCACACGTAAGACATGGTTTAGCGTGTGTGAATGAAGGCATTCCTAAAGTGATAGTTTGATTTTTTCTTCTTGTAAAAGCTGTTGTAAACACCCGCAAATAATTAATTAAATAGTAAATGTAAGTGAGTTCCGTTGGATTTTGATTTTAAAAAAAACGTCAGAAATTTTTTAATAACGCTACGGCTGTACGTTTACCAACTTCACATAAAGTACCTATAACATGTTGATCTACTTAAAATATTATTTTGAGATATTTTCTTCTAAGTATGTGTATGGAATGGGGTTCCACGAAAGTACCTTCAAGTTCTAGGGGTTCTGTGAGTTGTGTGTGTATGTGAAAAAGTTTGAAGCCACTGCTCGAAAACATCCTAAACATTTACAATCGGATTTAAATTCGGGAGACGAGAAGGTGAGCAAAAAAAGTGCTAATTTTCATCGCTGTGCAGGCAACCCTGACAGTTCTAGTGAGATGACATGCTGCGTTTTCATCCATTTAATTGAGAGCATTATTGGAAGCATCATGTATAAAAGACGAAAATGAGGCAGCATAACTTCATAAATGTAACGATCAATATTCATAGTCACAGCTGGTATCACGTATTGCGCCATACGGCCATTGAACATGATGATGGCTCAATCATTACCCTATAAAAATATATTGACACTTAAAAAAATATTATAGGATATATACACACGCACTACCTTCATTAAATCTAATTAACTTATGTCTGTAATCTGAAGAAAGATTAAATCTGCTCTCCTTTGAGAAAGGCACTACTCACATATCTGTCGTTCCTAGTCCAATTTCGAGGCTGTCTAAACCATTCGAAATGGGTGAACACTGTTTTCCGTTCAGTGGGACGCATACAATAGTTTTCGGATGAATAATCGGGCTTCCTGCAAGCATTTGAAAACATTTTTTCTTTAATTTATGAGTCCCTGTGGCAATGCTATGTTCCTTTATCACTTTGCCAGTTGTGATGTGGTGATTTCTGTCCTTTTGTTAAAACGATGTACCTGTCATTTATAACCATAATACTGTAAAGATGATCTCTCAGCTTGCGCTTGTTAAACTTTCCACTTCTTTAAAATGATACTTTGTCCAAAGGTAGTACTGTGGACAATTTTGAATTGCCAGTATCCATTATTTGTCGCCCTTTCAACGTTTCAATAATCCTTCTCCAATCAAAGTCATGTAAGTGATATCTGCTAGACATATTCAAGACTTTATAATCGTCAATTTATAGCTTTTCATTCAGGTTTTACAGCAACCTGCACATGTTAATAATCTTTAAACTCTTATCTGCACAATCACTTGAATCATGCTCCAATATAATAAAATTTGCATACATACCATGTTTTTCATTGAATCACATAATTATTTTAATTAAAATGTCGCAACACTTTTTCATGTATGCATTATTAATACATTTGTGGATTATTTTTAATTGCTTATTTTAATTCATAAAAAAAGGGAAATTTTTTGTAAGTTGAAGTATGTTAAAAGTTGTACTTAAAGTAAATATTATAAGTATTAAGATTTAGTTTATATAAACATTTATTAAAGTATAAAAAATAGTTCATTAAACAAATAAAAAGTACCATTAACAAGTTTCATTACACATGAGTAACAATACAAATTAATAAAATTAATTATTGTTTGTTTTTAAAAATATTTAAGAAATTGGACAAGTGTATTCAAAGGAAAAACGTTTTATCAACATGGGAGCTGTATCTTCTTGTCACATAATTTCTTTAAATAATTCAGTTTTTTTTATTTGTAGTTTTTGTATTTTCGTGAACTCAGTAATCAAGTTTTCAAAAAATAATTGTTCATCATGTTGCTATCAGAACTGATTAAAAATAATTTTACCACAATCAATAAGTAGTTTATTCTAAAGTAAACGATATATGTAAGCTCACGGCAATTTTATCGTTTAAAAAATTTCAGCGCTCTTCAACAACCGGCTCAATTTTCATAACACTTGACTATCATATCTCGAAAAACTTGAGAGACCCAAACTCAACTGCAATTACTATATTTAGATAGTTTTTTTGGAGGGACTCTCTAATTATAATTCATTACATTTGCTTATTTAGTTCTTTACATATTATTTAACAATATATAAATTGAATAATTGAGATAAATTATTACAATTTTTAACGTATGTTGTATATATTTACATATTTAATTTGGACAGCAATACTTTAAATAAAG